GATGTTCGAGGGGCGAGAATGATGAGATCCAGACGACCTGTGGGAGCTACCGCTGGCAGTCCTTTGCCGAACATAATTGGGTGAGGATTCGGAACGCGGTAGCATTTGTGGAATCGGTCCAAAAGTCTGCTTGAGAGGGGACAGAGCCCCAAGATGAAGGTGTGAGAGGGCTGGAGATGTGATGGATCGCCTATCCTTGAGGTTCAGAGGCGGTTCTGGCGAATTTCTCTGAGCGGAACGCCCAAAATCTGTGTCTCCTATTGCGCGGAACCACAATTCGGATCGCTCAAAGTCCTCGAAATCGGGTTCCATTTCTCGTTGTACCTGTCTCTGGGCCAGCATGACGCTCCTGCGTACAGTGCGTTGCGTGGCAGGAGACGGTGGTTGTTCACTCGTCGCAAAGTCCCGAATTCGCTGGACATGCTTCTTCGGAATTGAAGCAAGGGTAGGATGAGGAGTGGGGGTGGAAAAATAAAGTTCGTAAATCATAGAGATATCCTCCCTGACGGTGACGGAGGTGGAGACATCCTGGATGTGTTCGTCCTCGTCACCAGAAGAGCTCGAATCCACAGACTCGAGGGGATTCTTGAAACTTTCGACTGTCAGCCAAAATTGAACAAGTAATGACCGGTGACGACGGTCCATGAACTCCATGAAGTAGGATAGCGAGCTGGGATTCTGGAGGACATCACGTAGCGTCAAGCCCAACTTGGGGCCTGGCTCTTGGTAGGTCGATTGCCGTCCCTTTGAGCGGTGTCAACACCATTTCCTTGGAAGATATATAATGACATACCGAATCGTCCCCTCCACCAAGTACGACAATCCTTTCCTCGACCTTTCTCTTGGCTGTGTAGAGCCTGTCCAAAAAAGCCACCACGTCTTCGGTCTTTTCTCCGTTAATCCAGTCTTCCTTTTCATGATTGGCTGCTCGTGGGATTAACGTATGCCGCGGGCTAGACGTGACTGCTCACCAAGAGATATGCGAGTTCTCCGGATCTCTCCCACGACGTCGTTCTTCAGCCGACGGGCGTCCAGGAGCGACGAACATCGATTTATGCTGCGAAGGAAGGATTCAAATTGACGGGCATCGGTCCTGATAGTTATGGTCTCGGTAGTAGGCAGTGCAGTAATTGGTGCCGACGATAGGCGATGGTGTGGCCGAGGTGACTGAGCCTCCAGAACATTGCGTACTTTGGTGATCAGTTTCCTGACTAGCAGTCAGCGTGCGCGCACGTTGCGAGTGAAACAACGCACTGTTCATGTATTGCCGCACCAGCCTGCAAGGAAGTGATTAGACCTGTCCGTTGGATTATTGCATTGGACTACGCACTACTTGGTCGATTGCCTTGTTCCAAAAGTCGGGATCCGACACCATTTCCATGACAGGGTACAGTACGGCGCACGCAACAATTTCGCGTACAACCAATTTCAAAACCTTGCTTCTTCCTTCCTTCTCCGGTAAGACAAACGGGAGCGCTTTTTCTACTAGGTGCCGGAGATGCGTCTCTTCGGTCTGCTTGGTAAAAGTAGTGGAGAGGTTATCGACCGACGGGTGCAATTTGCCTCCGCCTTTGCTCGTGTATCGGCTCGCGAGAAGGAGGTCGAGCTCCTCCGACTGGGTCAAGCGGCGTTCCAAGCCTGCGCCGCGGAGGGCGACCTCGGACTGGCGGAACTGCTCGATGTGTGCAGTGACCTTGGGCAGTATCCGCTTTACGACGAGTTCCGATAAGTCGATTCCGGCGGCCCGATCAAGGATGTTCTCGAGTGATTTGTGCAGCACGGTGGAGACTGCCATGGGGAACGACGGTGACGTGGACAGGTCTTTGTACCATGTGAGGACAAAGTCGCGGACAATCATGACGAGGATGTCATTTATTGCACCTGAGAGAACAGGCGAATCGGGTACCAGTGGTGGAAAGGACTGAGGGCTGTCCTGGGACCACTGGGACCGCGTGAGGACTGCCTGCCAGGCCGCGGGGCTGGAAAAGACGAACGGCCTAGCGGCATAGTGGAGATTGTTCCTCGCTGAGGGTGCTTTGGCATCGAGGAGATGACTGACGAGGACGTTCAAGACCAGGAACGCGATGCCCAACAGCCCGACGACGAAGGGGGAGATGAGAAGGAGGGTGACGGGTGACGAGACGATACGGAGTATTGCAGGGAGAACGACGGCGACCCCGAGCACGACGACGGCGCTAAACAGGAGGCTCATCGGCGACCATGCGCATCGGAACCAAAGCCAGATTTTCTAAATTTGGCAATTCGATGCGGATTATTCACCTTTTGCTCCTTGCTCTCGCGTCGACCCCGGATCCTCCGAAATGACCTCCCCCGTCAAGGGCCGTCCCATCTCAACCGCGGAGGGTTTTCTCTGTGGCGGCATTGCAGCATCTATCGCTGTTAGTGCTGTCCAGGCGTCGGAAATTTCGGCTGACAGGCCTGGCTCTCCCAGGTCACCGTCTCGAACCCCGCTGAAGTGGCCAAGACACGCTTGCAGCTGCAGGGCGAGTTGGCAAAGTCGGGCACGCAAAAAGTGTACAAAAACGCGTTCGATGTGATTGGCAAGACATACAAGAACGAGGGCATTCAAGGGATGCAGAGAGGCCTTGGTCCTGCGGCATGTCGTACTATTTTGTTCACGTACCGTCGTTTTCTGACCCAGTGCACAGTATGCATACCAAGTACGTCTCCCTCCGATGCCCCAAATATTTTGGTAATCAACCCCCGCAGATACTGTTAAACGGCTCGCGATTGGGTACAGGCTCTCCTTTTATTTCTCCCTGCATTGTGCCCACCGCGTTGTTTTAGGATTCTATGAGCCGTTTCGGCGCAACCTCAACACGTTTATCGGCCGAAGGCCCGATGAACAGCTACCTGCAACCGCTGTTATTGCTGGGGCGACGAGCGGGGCTGTCGGAGGTCAGCAGCACGCCATTCATTATTTCCAATGCTGAACGCGCCGGCAGCCTCCCTCGGTAATCCGCTTTTCCTGATAAAGGCGCGAATGCAAGCGTACTCTCCTGCTTTGCCGGTCGGCGCGCAACATCATTACAAAAACTCTTTTCATGCCTTGTCCACCATATTTCGCGCCGAAGGGCCGCGCGGTCTCATCCGCGGCATGGATGCCGCGATCCTGCGAACGTCGATGGGCTCGTCGGTGCGCGTTTTTGCCGTTTGTTGAATTCAATCCTCATTGCGCCTAGGTGCAACTACCGAGCTACAATCTCACCAAAAACTTTTTGGTGAGCCGCGATATCCTGCCGGCTAATAGCACGTGGACGTTTTTGGCGAGTAGCTCCGTTTCTGGAATCTGCGTTGTAAGTTTTTCCTTCTTTTTGAGCCTGCAATTCCGCTCACACTTTTCCCCAGTGCCTGGTGATGCAGCCTGCGGACACTGTAGGTCTGGATACCCGCTACTAAATGTATATTGACCAGTTCTTCAGGCATTAACGCGGATGTACAATCAGCCAACCGTCCTCGGGCCAAACGGTAAGATGGTGGGCACCCTGTACAAGAACCCAATAGACTGTCTGTGGAAGACGGCAAAGACGGAGGGTGTGCGTGGGTGGTATAAAGGTGGGTGATGCCTCTCATTCCATTAATTTAAGCTGACGGTATTATAGGATCGACCGCGCACTTTTTGCGAATTGCACCCCATACGTTCGTTGCCGCTGCCCGCTCCCTGTTGCGCTTCTGAATGCGTTTCTAGAATTATAACGCTGACTGCTAATGACCTTATCATTAATCTATACAAGAAGATGCGGGATAATGACGACTAGAATATGCGTGTCTAGCATAATGGAATTCAATTTAGAGCGCCTCTGAAACTCGACCAGAGAGCAAGTTTAAAATTGACTTGCGCGCTTCGTGTCTTAGGCTCGTGTCTCAGGCGGCTTGAATATCGGGAGCAGGCAATCTGAGTCAGATGTCATTGGACATTAGCCCCAAGTATCTCAGCGGAAGGAAAATCTTGGGAAGAACGAATGCCTTTTCGTACAGCGGATGCGGTGCGCGTTTGGTCAATGTTCATTCATGTGAGACGCAGCGACAGAGATAGATTCCCTCAAATCTAAGGTTTTGTTTCCGCTCAACACCCCATGGATGTCTAGTAGATGCGCAACGTGAGCTCTCTACCGATGGTCTAACATTCGATTCAATTGGGTACTTGTGATGTTACCAGTCCACGTGGGATCCAGTGACATCTTGGCGCCTCAGAGCCATTGGTGTAGTAAGGACCGAACCTTCATGTCCGTCCAATGCGCTCTGAAGTACCAAAGGCTAACACTGGTTAACATAAACCCGGAGAGGTACTCGAGTTAGCAAGACCCGAGTCAGCAAGCGAGGCACGAGCTTCTCGTATCGAGGGTCTACGAGGGGTACCCTGGCCATTTCCAATAATGCTCACTTGACAACAGCACAGAGGGAATCACGGCTTTGAACAACAGCTTGTAAAGAGTCGCGTCATCTATAGGACTCTTATACTGTGGGAGAGGACGGGAGGAATATCGCTTTGCTGGAGAGACGGTTGACAGCGCTCGGAAACACTGATAGTGTGAGTCAAGGGTTTTGGTTTCCGAGCGAGCCGTCGCTGACCTGCGGTCAGCGACGGCTCGCAACGTACCAATACACTTTTGTGAACTTGTCTTGTGACTGAAGCGCTTTCTGAACTCTAATTTATGAAGTCTGGCGATACTAGGTCTGGGGAATAGCCGTGTAGGGACGGGAGTTGATTTCTGAGCGAGCCGGAGCTGACCGCAGGTCAGCGACGGGTCGCGCATGTATCTTCAAAACTCTTCATCCCACAGTGCCGCGTCGCGGCGCGTCTCAAATCGGGAATGGGCTGAAAGGTCTCGGCCGCAGGTTGGATGTTTGTAGGTTGTGAGCGGGCCGAAGCTGACCGAAGGTCAGCGGAGGCCCGATCGCGCGGCTCAATTCGGCAACGCGTCCTCGCAGCCCAAAAAGGAAATTGTAACAGATCTCTTCGAAACTCTGCAAAAAGGTGACCTCTGCCCGGATCGAACGGACGACCTTCTGGAAACCACTGTTGTACTGGAATCAGATGCTCTACCACTGAGCCAAGAGGTCGATGTGGTTCAACAACGAGCAAACAATAAAATCCTTCCTGTGGTTCCACAGGTCGGACGGCATACTGGATCGCTCCGCTCAGATGCACTTTGGCCCAGCCATCGCTCCGCTCAAATTACAGTCTGGCCCAACCATCGCTCCGCTCAAATACAGTGGCCGAATATCGCTCCACACAAACACAGTCCCTCATCCATCGCTTCACTCAAATACAGTGCCGATCCAATATGTCTGCCGCAAGTCCAGCCTGTGTATCCACAGGAAGGATTGCCGTCGAGTGATGGGTGTATCTACTTGCTAATAACGTCTTTGACTTAGCCGATTCACTTCAAAATGCAACATTTTTCTCCCACAATGTTCGGGAACAACTGAAGGAAGTCCTTCGTCACGCTCTGCCATCTGTTCCAGGTGGGATCCGTCAAGGCACGAAAAAAACAGTGGTACTGTCCGACCTGTGGATCCACAGGCCAGATTCACCGACACTGAACTTTCACAGAGCCTGTGGTTCCACAGGCCGGTTCAATCAAACCCGTAGCCAACCGTATATAATTGTAGTCGATGTAATAGAAGAGATTTCGCGTGCACGTGATTCTCCATTTTCCTCCCTCTTACCACAATGTCTCGCTTATCACTCACCCTCGACCTGCTTGACCAACTCGAAGAAGCTCTGGAGCTCGAAGGCACCTCCAGCACCCCCAACACGCAAAGAGAAAAGTCGTACCTCCGCTCGCGTCTGGGTCGTATCGTCCAGTCCTTGCCTGCTCTTCCTCCTCCGTCCTCTTCTTCCTCCGCCCGACGCGACAGAGCCTCTTCAGAGGCCCCAACACCCGCTCAACCCCCAGCGCCTCGTTCTCCCGTATGTATAACCCCCCGGTCACACGAATCGCGCTGACCGTTTGCAGCCGCCTCTCAACCGCAAAGCTTCAAAGTCTCTGCGATGCTCCGAGCGCGCCCATTCGATCTACAATGCCACCATCAAAGAAGAGCCGCTTACTTCCGATGATTTCTTTTCTGCTCTGTCGTCCTCGCCCCACGGATCCATGACCAACCAGGAGAACCATGCCATGGCAAAGCTGTTTGTGGGATACGAGGCCGGGACCGCCGAAAGCTGGGTCAATCTTGATGCTATTTTGTGCATCTGGACATGCTAACAGGCTCTCAGCGCCAGTCTCGGGGAGAAGTGGACTTTACCAGCATCTCGATCCAAAATCTCCTGCACGAGGAACAGCAGTATGATGCCGTGAGTGACCTCACAGACCGCATTATGCTTCGTCACAAGGTTAGCCGCACACTGCAGTTTTTTTTATGAAAAAAAACACGCATATATCCACCTTTTTAGAACCTCGCGTACCAAGAAACAACTTCTGACGTTTCTGCGTATTTTCGCCTCTTGTTTCAAACCGTCAACGCCATCGAATTCAGTCTTGAAGTCCAACAGCTTGGCTCAGGCAAGGGCGGTACCGCACGCAAGACCGCCCTGTATGCGGCGATGCACATCGCAGAAGGCGGCGGTCTCTCGTATAAAGAATGGAAGGCCGTGTACGAACCCAAGGTCACCGCCCGCAATAAATTGTGCAAGGTTTATTTTGCAGTGGGTGTTTCCCGGTCGCCACAGAATCATACATTTATGCCAGAAAAGTTTGGACCAATTATGTTACTGGACATGTTCTGGAGCCCGCGCAATATGGAACCGAATCATCGCACTAATGACTTTTCTGAGACGCTGGACTTACTCATCAAAATGATTCCACACGGGTCTTTAGCCGCTCTCCAGCCTTCTACCAAGAATGCACTGGCGAATGCATTGACGCTTCTCTTCCCTGGCGCTGCCGCTCACGTCCTTGCATTTTGCAACAAGAATCCCCCCAATATCGCAATGGATGACGACAATTCGGACGGTGATTGAGGTGGAAGGAGCGGTTGTAATAATAAATGAATTTTTTCTTGTAACTCCGTGTGAAGGATCCTTTGAATGCAATGGACAATTACCTATGGATTAAAGCCTGCGCTATTTATTTCATTGCTTCATTGCGTAGGTGGATAATTATGCAGATAGCACCGATACCACCAAGCAGAGCGTAACACCGTGTGACCAAGTGACCCGGCGTGACTCGCTCTCTTCGCGTCCACGTCCATGTCTTTTCTTCGTCCTCGCGAGTTGCCATGTTTTTATGCTGGAAACGCATCTGTTGTAAGTATTCCAGCTTGACTAACAAGTTCTAATAACGAGATTGGCCCTAGGACGCGCCAGTTTCACTTGGTTTGGCTCGACGTGTTTGCAAACGCTGTGAATCACCTCTGGTAGCCTGAATGCCTCCCGGTCGCGCTCCCCTGTCGTCTTCACATGCAAGTCCTATTCTATGTGCAGGAATTCTAACTTTACAGCTGCCTCAGGATTCTGTAGATACTCGGCTCTGGTTTTGCTTGGGTTTCCTCTCAGTCTTGGTCGTGTCTTTTCTCTCTCGGTGGTCTCTTTTCGTCCCGTCTCGGTTTTTTTTTCTTGTTCTTTTTCTGCTTTTTTCTTTCTTTTTTGCTTTCGTTTTCTTTTTCTTCTTTTTCTTTTTGATTCCTATCTTTCTTCGTCTCCGGGTTTTCTCTTCTCTGTAGTTCTCATGCACGACCGTGCTTCTTCGGGTCCTGGTTCGGGACAGCGCGCCGGTGTCGCTGTCGCGGATAAAGAAGCACACATCAATATATATATCTCTTTTGGAAAATATAATGCCTGAACAGCAAGAAACCATGGCTTTCGATGCGGCAAGTGACAGTCAGAGGAACCAAATGGTGATGCGTATTGAATCTCCGCGCGTTCCTACTCTGCGTCTCTCTTGTCTCCTCTCTTCTCATCCACCCCCGCCATGTGCATCGAGGAGCCAGGGCAGGTGAGTATCTTGCTAACCTGACCTGATCATCCTCCTCAATTGTGATTCCAGGCGGGCCTTCCCGGTGTAAGACAAACTCACGCGGGTTGAAGAGACGCGATTAACTTTGTTCCAGAAATCCCGCGCGGCGGCTCGCACTCACCCCATCATATTCAAGGTAATTTGCCTGCATCGCGTTCCCACTTTACCTCAACTCTTTTCCAGGCTGTGCAGCGCAAAAGAAAGTCCACGTCCACACGGGCAACGCGACCGGTACGTGCGCTGATTTTCTTGCGATTCTGGTCTGAGATGGCTTGTGCAGAGAAAACGCCAGCGGCAGAAGTCGGAAGACGCGCAAGACGGTGACGATGAGGTGGGTTGAATTCATAAGTAGACATAATTTTCTGACGAGTGATGCAGGCCAGTGGAGACGAGAATGATCATGAAGACAACGACAACGACGAGGTAAGTTTCTTCAATTCAAGATTTTGTAACCGTGTTCAATTTCCCTAGCCCCGCTCGGAAGACACAGAAGACGCAGAAGACGCGCAAGACGGTGACGACGAGGTGGGTTGAATTCATCAGTAGACATAATTTTCTGACGAGTGATGCAGGCCAGTGGAGACGAGAATGACAACGACGACGACGAGGTAAGTTTCTTCAATTCAAGATTTTGTTGCCTTGTTCAATTTCCCTAGTCCCGCCCGACTACGCCCCAGCTCGCAGAGGGTCCTCCTATCTCCCGCAAAGGCCCTCGGGTACGACAGTCTTTTTTTTTCCACAATTTTTTTTCATGCTGCCTCCCTCAGCCCTTGACCGCCAAAGAGAACTTCGACCGCCGTCGCGCAAAAAATCGCATTCGCAACGAAAAAAGGAGAATACTCCGGCGGGCGGCAGGGCCGAGGCGCCGATCCGAGCAGGAGCAGACGGCCATCGCGGAGTGCTTACTTTCCACATTGGTGGAGTTGGTCTCCAACCAGATCGAACTCAGTGCAGTTATCACCCACGGCACCCCTCTCAACCAAGTTCTCGAGGTCGACGCGCTCGTTCGGGGCCAGCAATCCCTTGCTCCCCTGCCCTTTGAAGGCCTCGAACCAGGGCCTCTAGTCGACATGCTGGCGGCGTGGCTTCGAGACCCTCTCCATTTTGACCCCGACCCATGGGTTGTGAAGGGAGTGTTGGTCGAGGACCAAGGGCAATATGTTCCGGGGAAGACCGCTCGCTTTTATATCAGAGTTGCGACCATCCAACCCAACTTTGTGGAACAGTCGCTGTTTAGCAAAATGAAACGAAAGCCGGCAGAGATCGCCTGGTTGGCGCTCATTGCAGCCTTGCATGGTGTCGAGATCAAGAAGATCGCCGAAGCAGCAGGGCAAGCCCTTCGCCACTACCTTCTTGATGGCACCGCGGCGCTGGTCGAAACGGCGCTCCTAATACCATCCTTCTTCCCACCTATCCTACTCGGTAATACCGCCGATACCCTCACCCACATCTACACGGGCGTCACGATCGCCTCCACGCCCCATATGCGTCTGGAGGATGATCTGTGGACATCCAACTTGTCGCGTTTCTGTAATCTTGGCAAGCGGCTTAGGTGGCGCACTTTTCATATCCCAGCCCTCGACATCCGTGCACCCAATGGGCCTTTGGCCTTCCGCACAAATCCTGCCATCGGTCGCGCAGAGGCTTTGCTCGTGAACATGTCTCACCAATTGGGCATGAACACGACCCCCGGCGGAACATGGATTCCAAGCTTTCTCCCACCCTCCCATATCACTACTGTCGTACAACAAGCACGCAGTAGCATTCCTGTCTTGCCACCGCCGCTGGGCCTCCCCAAGCCATGCTGCCAACGGCTGGCAATGCTCCTAGATGACGAGTACCGATACTGGCAGGCGAGGGTCGGCGTCGACAATGTCTGCGTCAAGGAAACTCTAGCCTCAATAAAGGAGAATATTATTGATGCAGCGTGGACCGTCGAGGGAACGGTGGTCATGGTCACCGTCGCGGAGGATATCACCGAGGAGGAGCGCACAGGACGGATTAGTGGAATCGAAACCGCGACCGCAGGGCCCGCCATGAAAGAGGCGATGCATTTCGTGCGCCTTCTTCACCCAACGGAAAACGCCCTCCGCACCCCAAAGC